GAGCCAAAAGCCACAGCTGTTTTATATTCAAGAACCTGTTATTATTTTGCTGTTCTCCATGAACTCCGCATTCCAGCTTCACAAGGCTATGTCCAATTACTCACACAACAAATATTTATGAAGCAACTGTAAAATGTTTGGCACTTACTATAAAATGACAATGTAAATGAGCCTTCCAGTGTAGTTGGGGGAGATGAACTAAATAGATATCCTGTGCTTTGGAAGCTTATTTGGGGGGAAGCAGGACCCAACAAGGGCAGAAGAACTAAATTCTCCTTGAGCAAGTGATGTGAGAAGAGAGACCAGGGATAAATGGGAGTTAGCTGGTAAAGGAGGAAAGGAAGAGCACACTGTGGCTGAAATGTGTCTTGTACTTGCCCTCCCTGGGCCTTTAATCGCTGTATTCTTTCCTCACTAGAATACTTTTCTTTTCTGCCTATTGAAATGCTGTGTGCTTTTCAGGCCCAGCAAAAATGTCTGTGCCCTTGTAAAGCCTTCCCTGAGCTCTGGCTGAAAGCAGTTTCTCCTTTATACCCCCACAGCCCTTTGTTTTCGTTTCTCTTTGACAACTCTCATTCCTACCATATTTTCTGGTTATTTATATATACAACTTATCTTTTTCTACAAAATCTTAAACATATTAAGAACAGAGTCTGTTTCTCATTCATCTTTGAGCTTCCAAAGGTCAGCACATTCCTAGGACTTTGAAGTCCCGGAACAAATATTTGTAGCATAAATTAATGCCTGTTTGACATCTCTTTTCAAATTTGTTTTAATTCGAATGAAGCTATTGTTGCAAGCTGTACCTCTGGGACTAAATTTACTCTCCTTAAACCAGAATGCCACAGTCACGGTCCCTAAGACTGATTAGAGTTCACCACAATGACTGGAACAATGCTAACAAACAGGCCACTGTTCTTGACTGACGGGCGTTTGGCAACAACTGCCAGTCCTCCAGTGTAGGCTGAAATGAACTGAGGAAGGCCTGTCTCAACTGAGAGTCCCCAACCCGGAGGGGCTCCCTTTGTTCCCTGCAGTAAAGAGCCAGAGACTGCTTTGGCCTGATGTGAGACATGTCTGCAGGGTATGGGTGGCAGTGAGGCTAGGGGCTTTCCAGAGTGACAGAAACATTCGTGTTCGAAACAGAAGCATCAAAGGATCAGTTATCAGGGAAAAGCACTGAAATTTGAGGCAGCTTGATAAGGAGGCCCTGAGGGGAAGGGAGCTTTGAAGTTAGACCTGGGTCTGGATTCTAACTAGCTATATGATCTCACCCATGTGTCCGAGCCTCTCATTTTATTTGTTACTTGTTACTCGTTATTATTGAGCCTCTCATTTTATTTTCTCATTTAAATAGTATTCTGCAAATATTGTACAAAATCAAAGATATCTCTACCAAGATTTGTTTATTCATCTGTCTTACCCAATGTATTTTGTTCTCTGAAGGCTGGGACTTTTTTTTTTTTTGCCTCTATCCCTGCAAAATCTAGCAAGTATCTAGCACATAGTAGACACTAGTAAATTCCATTTAAACAAATTAACAGCAACAATAATGACATAGAGAGCAATACTTTGCATGAGATGTTGTAAATAATAATCACTTAATCCTCCAACAACCCTAGAAAGAAGATACCATTATAACTCAATTTAACAAAGGAGAGAACTGAACAATTTTTTTTTTAAAATTTGGGGGCATGGTTTGAGACAGGGCTCTCCATATAGTTTAGGCTGGCCTTGAACTCATGGTGATCTTCCTGCCTCAGCTTCCCAAGTGCTGGGATTACAAGCATGCTGCACCACACCTGGCTGAACAAATTTTTAATTTAAAAAAATTTGCTGAATTTTTTTTGTAGTACTGGGGATTGAACCCAGGGCCCTTGCACAAACTTTGTTTAAAAATTTGAGACAGGGGCCAGGGATTTAGCTCAGTGGTTCTGTTGCCTGCCTCGCAAGCGCAAGGACCTGAGTTTGATCCCTGGTACCAAATAAATAAATAAATAAATAAAAATAATAAAAATAAAAATTTGAGACAGGTTCTCACTAAATCGCTAATTTGCCCAGACTGGACTCAAACTTGTGATCCTCCTGCCTCAGTGTCCTGGGATTACAGGTGTGCACCACCATGCCTAGATCTGAATAGTTTTTTGAATTTTTATTTTTGGATAGGATATCAAATTATGAACTTTTAATAGAGGTGATGGTTGAGATGCAAAAATGGGGATCTGAAATAAAGACACTTCTTAGATGAATTAGAAATGGCAAATAAATATATGAAAAAATGTTCAACATCACTGGTCATTCATGAAATGCAAATTAAAACAACACTAAGCTTCTACTTCACTCCAGAAAGAATGGCTGCTATCAAGAAATCAACCAATAACAAATGCTGGAGGGGCTGTAGGCAAAAAGGAACCCTTCTCCACTGTTGGTGGGAGTGTAGACTGGTGCAACCACTGTGGAAATCAGTGTGGAGATTCCTCAAAAAACTAAAACTAGAGGTTCCATTTGACTCAGCTATACCTCTTCTTGGTATCTTCCCAGAATTAAAAGCATCATCCCACAGTGATATATGTGCACCCATGTTTATAGCAGCACAGTGTGCAGTAACTAAATTTTGGAAACAGCCCAAATGCCCATCAATTGATGAGTGGATAAAGATGTAGTTTTTTTATACAATGGAGAACTACTCTGACATAAAGAAAGATGGGCTTCAGACATTTATAGCTAAATAGATGGACCCTGAGACCATAAGCCCAAGTGAAATAAATCAGACACACGTGTTTAAATATCACATTGCTTCTCTGGTGTGAGAAACTGAAAGTGGAAATAAGGACTGTAATGTATAATTGATGTTGGGAAATGGGAAGAAAGTGTTCAAATGGGAAGGGGAACAAGGGAGGAGGAATGGAGAAAGGAAGGAAGGGACAAGAAAAAAACTGAAAATAGAAGGAAAAATGGAAACAAGCCTTTTGCACATAGGGAGAAGAGGGGTCTGAGGAGGGAAGGGATAAAATAAAATAAAATTTATTTTTTAAAAAAGGTGATGGTTGAAGCTTTGGAGCAGAATAAGTCACCACTCCACTCAAGTTAATAATGAGAAAAACAAAAGATGTGGGTATTGTAGGGACATTTTCATTTAGGTGGAAGAACCTGGGTAGACAGAACAATCAATTCAGAAGCAAGCCAGGGAGGATAGTGCAGTTTTATAGTATTCAAGAAAGGAAAGAATTTTTTGAGATGGAGATAAACTTTGTGATTTGATCTAAATTAGTGAACAAGAATTTGTTTAGGTGCTCGTTAAAATGGTTTGGGGCCATTATCCAGCCATGGTATAAGGGTTAGAACCTTTTGGTAGTGCTGCTGCTGCTGCTGTTTTAAACAACAGATGATGAAAGTTTCAAAGACCTGAACAATGTGGAATTTTGTCTTGTTCTATTTTCAGACAGTCTCACTATATAGTTCAAACTGGCTTTGAACTATGTAAGGCTGGGAATTTAGCTCAGTGGCACCATGCTTGCCTTGCAAGTGCAACGTCCTGAGTTCAATCCTTGGTACCAAAAAAAAAAAAGAACTATGTAGCCAAGGGTGGCCTAAAACTTCAAGCAATCCTTTTGCCTAGTGTTGGTATTACAGGCATGTGCCACCCGACCCGGCCCAGTCTTGCTTTGTTTTTCAGTGGCCCTGAGCATTTCTTTTGGACAGAGGAATTTGTGTTTTTCTGGACTGTTTTAGTCTTTTGTTCCATATATCTTCCTCCTCCTCTTTTCTTTCTTTTTTTCTTTTTTGTATAGGGGATTGAACTTAGGACTTTCACACTGAGCTACATCCCCAGCTCTTTTTTTTTTTTAATTTTGAGACAGGGTCCTGCTAAGTTGCTAAATTGTCCAGGCTGGGCTCGATCTTGGGTTCTCCTGCCTCAGTCTCCCAGAGAGGTGTATGCCACCATACCAGGTTTATTTATTTTTCTGCGTTTATGCGTATTTTCTCAAGGAGTCTGTCCCACATCATACTTTTTTACTTTGCTTCTGTACTCTTCTAGGGTGGCTTTAGCAGCTTTTCGTCTTCTGGGTAATCAAGCAGGCTGTAGCCAGCAGATGGCACTGCAGTAGAGAGGGGGAGAGTTCATTTCTTTGACAACTACTAGATACAGGTAATTTAAAAATTTAGCCTCTGAAAACTCATCCGCTTACTTTCGCCCGAACCCTAATAAAGACAGAGTTGTTTGCAATTACGGATTTCAATTGACAAAGTAGAATTTGTAGCCGTCTCCCCCACCCTACTCCAGTCTTTAGGCTGACTTTCCTCTTTTACCACGTTGTCAAAGTGTTTTCAGGGGCGTGTTGTCCAAATATCGTTTGATTTTGCGATCCACAGCAGGATTCAAATACAGGAGATCATTGAGACTGTCCTGATAGTTGAAGAAAAACCCACTCCACAAACAGGCAATTAACTGAATATTTCTGACAACTTAGAGTTTTAGGATCGAAATGTGTGACTTCTTTTTGTTATGAAGTTCCTTATTTCATTTTGCACGCTGGAACACGGCCCGGCTAGATTTCCCTCAGGAGTACGGAAGAGCTGCACGGCGAGGGCAGGCCCAGGGCTTCGGCGACTGCAGCGGCTCCTGCCCCTCCCCCTAACTCCCCGACCACACCGAAGCCTTCACATATTTATTACTTAACCAACCTACTAGGGCACAGCATAAAAACAAAGAGAAAAATCGCAATAAAAACGTGTCCAACTGTGCAGACAGCGTGACCAGCTTTCTATGGTAAGACGGTCGTGACCTTGCTGTAGCATAGGTAAATAAGTGCCTCTCCTGTGCAATTCCTTGCAGACCCAGCTTGGTTCTTCTCTAACGCCTCCTCTTGGAATTCTATTTATTTATTTATTTATTTTTGGTACCGGGGATCGAACTCGGGACCTTGCGCTTGAGAGGCAGGCGCCGGAACCACTGAGCTAAATCCCCGGTCCTGAAATTGTTTTTATTACCAGTTTTCGTCCGAATCCACTGGGAGAATGGGATGATTTTGCTGTTGTTTCTTGGCCAGGAATCAACTGACCCTTGAAAGTACTGTGAGAAGACACGTGGGGACCAGGCAACCGTACAACGGCGATGGCGGAGAACTGGAAAGCAGGGTTGCTTCTTCAACCCTGTGGTGCGGGTTTTCTTAAGTGAAACCTCCCCGCTGCAGGTGGGCTGCCTCTGACATACACGCACACTCACACTGACCAGCTGCCACAGCGCAAAGCCTCCAGCTTTCAAACACCTGGCTCTAACTTCCCGGGGCGAGCTTAGTAAACTCAGTAACCTTGCCCACGCAGAAAGCTTCGCAAAGGGCGCTCTCACTCTACGTAAGCAAGCAAGCACCACCCACGCAGGTCCCCCTAGCTCGGCAATCGGCTAGAAGTACTCGATTGCGTTCGGTGCTCGCCACTCGTCCCTTGCGCTTGCGTGCTACAGCTCCAGCACGTCGCCGCGGCCCGGATCGGGAAGTGTCAAGCGGGCGCTGGGTTTCCCCGCCTTCGCCACTGTCACCGCTGAACCCGGACTCCTTACCCAGTCGCAGGCTCAGCCGCCATGACCAACGGTGAGAGCCGGTGCCCCCACGGAGGGTGGGAGTGAAGAACGAGGGGAAAACGTGGCGGGCAGGGCGGGGACTGATGTGGCCGTTCTCCCTACCCCCTCCAGGTCCGGCCCCCCTTGGTCTTTCTGCGCCCCTTACTTCGGTCTCTTACTCCTTTGCACATTATCTTTTGTATCCATCTGGGTTCCCCCGCACCTCCCCTGCCCATACCTCAGTCTTCTGTCTCTACCCTTTGCTTTCTCTCTACTAGAAGTTCGTCCAAGCCCTTGGGGAGCCAGTGCCCGTAGTACGAGAGGTTTAGTCTCATGGAAGAGAGGATCTTCCTCCCAGGTCCCTCCGTTCTCTTACTTGGGGGCAGCAGGCTCGTTGAGAGGACCACACCGAGAAATCAGCGGATATCAGTCCCCCCACTTTGGGGTGTGTGTTGTGTGAATGTACACCCTCCCAAAAGTTCTCCTATTTTGAAAATAAGTCATTTCAAAAGCCTTCTCTTCTTTGGTTTTAAACTTTTAGCTGGTTGATCTGATCTGGAGACCTTGGCTAGTGTTGCAAGGGGTGCATCAGACACTGCCTTTCCTAAATGGTGCAGCAGTTGCCACCGTGTTTATCTGACATAATTTTCTGGGCCTCTTCAAACACTTTCTAGACAGGATTTCCAAATTCCAGGCGAGGGAAGGAAGCAGGGCTATTAAGGTCTTGAGAGTCACCCTTAGAGGAGAAGAGAAAAGAAAGTCTTTTAGGCAGTATGATTTAAAGGACACAAGAAAGCATTTCCAAAGGTATCTTGTTGATAGTCCTGGTACTAAAGATTCGCATTTCATCTACTTGTGAATTGTGGCAGTGTCTGTAAGACTTATGGGATTAAAAAAAAGTATGGGATAAGATATCATTCTTTATAAAAACCTAGTGTATGTACTAATATATTGGACCTAGCAATGAGATAGTTTCACTGATAGAAGAGAGGGATCTGGTCTAGTACTGACACACTGGTTCTATAAAATATCCATTTGGAACTTGCTGGCCAGTCAGTGGTCTCAGGATACTATGCACAGTAAAAGAAAGGACATCACCCAGAGGAAGAAATAATTTGAACCAGGAAACCAGCACATTCTAAGCATGTGTGAGGCTCTGAGTTCAGTGCCCAGTACCAGAAAAAAATTTTCTTTAAGAACTCATTCTGGACTGGCATGGTAGTGCACGCCTGCAATCCAAGCACTCTGGAGGCTGAGGCAGGAAGATTGCCACAAGTTCAAGGACAACTGTACTACATAGTGAGTTGAAGGCCAGCCTGCACTACATAGTGAGACCCTGTCTCAAAAGAAACCCAAAACCCAAACAAAAAAACCCCATTCTGACACAATGTCATGGTCCAATATCATTTGTTTTGTTTTTTTTTTGCAGTGAGGTGATTCATTGTGCTTAACAGAACAATAAATAGCTTGATTTACATATGTAAGAAGAAATAGAACTAAGAGTTTAAAACTTTCTACTATGGAAGCATCACTTGTGCGATTTATAACATTCAGGCTCCAAGGATTCTGATCCTTCCCGCAACATATTGCCAACACTGGTCATTTCTGGGAGGCTGATTCCACACAGACTGATGCAGTCTGCTTAGGATTTCTAATTTGGGAAAGGGGATGATGGGAGGGGACAGTGAAACCGTTGTAGCCAGGATGTTTGCAAGCAGCTTTTGGAAACAGTAAGGTAACATGGTTAGTTCCATGACCTTGGTTCCCTCTCATCAAGTGTTGGCACCGCCACTGAGGTTTCATCTTGATTTTTTTTTGAAAGCTTTTAAATTTTTAATTTTATGTACAAAGAGTTAGCATGGTCTCTTTCATTGAGTGGATGTCCTAGATCAAAGGAAGATTACTTAGATGAACTTGATGAAGCCAGTATCCTTCACCTACTGACAGAAACACTGGCAGCACATGTTCAGGCTGTATTTCCGGATCAGACCTTGTCAGTTTGACCACACGCAGCAAGAGCAGGAGCCCTGGCTGAATTTCTTCAGTGGCTCCAGTAGAGCTGCTGGTGACCCATGTTGCTTCTAGAGGTACAAGGAGGCAAAAGTCTTATCTTGATTTTATATCATACATGGTCCTCAAGAGCAGATTCTCTGTCAGGTGGGATCACCTTTCTCAAGCTAGATCAGCACCAAATGTTTTCTTTTCTTCTTTATGTGACAGTGTACTCCTTGGATGGGATTCTGGTGTTTGGTTTGCTCTTTGTTTGCACCTGTGCCTACTTCAAGAAAGTACCTCGCCTCAAAACCTGGCTGCTATCAGAGAAGAAGGGAGTTTGGGGTGTGTTTTACAAAGGTAAGGTTATGTGTGAACAGGGAAGGGAGATGACCATTTCTGGGCAGTGTGGTGCTACAACTAGGAATGTAATGGACTGGGATTATATTTTGTTCCACTCTTAGAAAAAAATCGCTGATATGACATCTGAGAGTCAGTAGAATAATCATTTTCCAAAAATAATGAGGGAAGAGATAAATTTGGTATTTGCTGTTATTTAAAAGATAATTGTTTATTTTAATATCCAGGTAATTTTAGTATTCTCCATGGAATAACAATATACAAATTAAGCAGTTTTAGGCTGGGCTGGAATTCTTCCCTTCAGTGGGGGGAATATTTTCCCACTGAAAAATTTCCTGATTTTCTGGAAAGAATACAGTGACATTTCTTTTAAGTTTCGATTTAATTAACTCAGATGTAGTTTTACTTTGTATTTGGGATACTATTATCTGCAGTCCTACCTACCTAAATCTTTTTCAAAGTAGGGTAAAATATAAACAAATGCTATATTTGCCTAGAATCTAGGGCCTAAGTGTAGCATTTAAAAATAATTCTTTGGTTTTTGAGAACCTTGATAGGTCTTAGTGTGTAATTAGTGATTTCAGAATATCACCTTGAATGTGAGGTCTCTTGCGAAGGGCAGGGTGTGATTCTTCTCTTTTTCTTTTTGCCGCCAGCTGCTGTGATCGGAACCAGGCTGCATGCTGCTGTGGCGATTGCCTGTGTTGTAATGGCCTTTTACGTCTTGTTTATAAAATGAATTCCAAAGTATCCAACTCATCAGCTGCCAAACAAAGGGACAAGGGTGAGGAACCTGTTGGAGCCCTGAACCCAGTGTAGGAGAGTTCAGCTAAAATCATCAAAGTCCCCAGGATGATATCAGAGCATCTGTCCCTGCCATATGTGAGGGAAATTCCTCACAGTCATGAACATTATTTATGCTCCAGGGAACTCCAGAAAGCCATCTTCCTTTGATCTGTGTGTAAATCAGCCCTCAGCAGTGAGCATATAATGTCCAAATAAATTACATCCCTGGGTGATAAGATTCTATACCTCTTGGCTTAAAAGCCTGTCACCTGGGCTGGGGTTATAGCTCAGTGGTAAAGCATTTGCTTAACATGAGTGAGGCTTTGGGTTTGATCCCCAGGTCTGCAAAACAAACAAACAACAACAACAAAAACCCTGTCACCTATTTTGTTCTTCAGTCCCTCATCAGGATCTTTCCTCTGAGACTCTTTAGGAAAGGACATAAACTATGTTCAGACCTCTTGGGAGGAGAAATAATTTTCAAGACTTCACTTTTTTCACTCTTTGATTTGGATTTGGCAAATTGCTGAAGAAGGGTGGCAGGTGGGAAATGGAAGTTAGGGAAAAGCCAAGAAATTGACTTTAGAAATTTATCTTTTATATACCCATCTGGGAACATAAGAGAGAGGCATGGCTCTCATTGCAAAAAGAGAACAGATGAAGCGGTGAAGCAGCTTGCTGTGTGTTGGTAGCTGGAGGGTTTTGCCAAGAGAATCTGAGCTTACATAAAATTTGGAAATTATCGTTGTATGCTGAAACTAGAAAGTACTTAGACAAGAAAATACTTTCTACCTTATCCCTAAAAGGAGACTTCATTCAATCAAATGGTAAATGAAAAATGAATCAACTTGCTATTTCCTAAAGCTTTGTTATATTATCTAAATTACTTAGTGCTAAATACTGTTCATTTTTAAATGCCACCACTAGGGGAAAAAGAAACTATTGAAGAAATAATTGTTTAATATATTGCTGTAAGGGTAGAAGAAAGAAATAAATTAGTATATCAATTCATATACTAGTAAAATCATCTAGTATAAGAATTTATTGTGATGTTAGATGGGAGTCATGCTATAAAAGATACAAACTTATTTTTTAAGTGTTGATGATGGCAATTTTCGGTTGATTGCTCGTTCTTGACCAATTTTCATATTGTGGTGCTCTTTCATTGTCTGGAAATTCTGTTCTCTGTAGGAACATGAGACATTCAAATGAGAGAAGTTGCTGGTATTTGTTGGCATATTTGGACAATTGTTAGGCTTCATTAATGGGAGTGTTTTATATAATAAAGTTAAACAGAACTTTGCATTTGAGAGTGAAGGGCTTTTCATGGAATATGACAGCTCCTGAGCAAATCGTTTTAGATGACTCAACATTTGAAGGGAAGATTTCTCCACTCGCTCCTCCTCCTAGCCTCATATCAGCTAACGGAATTGTGAAATCTCATGTCTCTATTCACAAACAAGAGTTGGTCTAAAATTAAATTATTATAATAAGCATAGACATAGGTCTTCCAGTTGAATTGTCCATTACAGTAAAACTTGGTAAGTCAGCTGTGGTTGATTTTTGTGTGGCAATAAATTATCTTTTGTCTACTTACTCCAAAAGAATAAAAGCTGCTAAGAAGTATAGGTTCTGAAATTTGCAATTTAGTACTTTGAAAGGTTTTAAAAATGTAGAAGGTCATCAGGTAAACACTACATGTCTAAATCATCTCAGATTTGGAAGTGCTATCTCTTCAGGAATTGGTCAACAGGGTAAATTTCAATGATTCATATATTTTCCATTGTCATTTCTGAGGAGCTTTCTCATGAAAGAAAGGGAATGTAGTGAAACAGAAGAGTTACACCTTGTGGTGTGAGCTTGGAACCTGTTGGCCCAATAGAACGTCACTCTAAGGAAACAGGTTCAGCACGTTTTGCACTTGTTATTTTGTAGCTTTAATGACTTGTTTTCTAATAGAGCTAATGTCTCTAAGTTTGGACCTTAGAGATGCTTCATATTTTAAACTAGTCCCATTCTACACTTCTAGTTCAAGCCAATTTTTACAGCCTCCTGGGTGGGTTATCTTGACCTAAATATAATAAATTTAGTTGTTATATTTTGAGATGTTGTCGTACCACAATGTACCAAAAAGTGAACAAGTTAAAGGTGATTTATAACAAAAAGCAAATACACGGCCTATTTAATTTCTTGACTTTATGTAAGCAGATAAACAGAAACTTGTTTAATTGGCTAATGTGTCATATATTTGGGGCTAGAAATGATAAGCTGTTCCTCTGGGGAAGCATATTGGGGTGGAGGTGTGAGGATCACAGTATTGCCTCAGATTCAACTTGGCATTACCGTAAGCCTGGGATAGAATGAAGTCGCCCCTTTTTATAGTAGAAGTACAGTTTTTTATTCAATGTCTGCACAAATCCTTGAAAATAAAAATTTTCCCTATAATCTTTGTCCATTTTATTTGTCAGATGCTGAATTTATTGAATTTTATTATTCCCCTGGGTTCTGCCCATACATAGCTTTTTTTAATAATAAATTTTATTTTATCCCATTCCCCTCCTCAAGCCCCCTCCCATCCCTATGTACAAAAGTTTTGTTTCCATTTTTTCTCCTATTTTCACTTTTTTCTTGTCCCTTTCTTACCTTTTCCCTCCCTCCTTACTTGTTCCCCTTCCCATTTAAACAGTTTCTTCCCATTTCCCAACATCCATTATGCGTGTCAGTCCTTATTTCCACTCTCAGTTTCTCACACCAGAGAAACAATGCGGTATTTAAACACGTGTGTCCCATTTATTTCACTTAGGAGTATGATCTCAAGGTCCATCCATTTAGCTATAAATGTCTGAAGCTCATCCTTTATGGAAGAGTAGTACTCCATTGTATAAAAAAGCCACATCTTTATCCATTTGTCAGTTGACTTCTCATGCATAGCTTTTTTTTTGGTACCAAGGGTTTAACTCACGACCTTTCGCTTGCCAGGCAGGCGCGGCACCACTGAGCTAAATCCTCAACCCCCATGCATAACTCTTTAATTCATGTTAGTGAATCCCATTGCGATTTCCCCCGTGTGAAGGTCATTGAATGTATGATACAGTTGAGAATGATGGCCTAGCCTTTGTGAGGGAGTTGAGGTTTTTATAAAACTTTGAGGTGTATTAATAAGGTAGGTAACATCCCCTGTACATTTAACCTATTGTTGCTATTAAAATGTAAGTATCATCTGGCATTATCAGTGATGAACCTCCTCATTCAAATAGTTATCACATTAACCAATCATGCACCTAGAAAAATCCCTCAAGCCAATAGAATTCTGGCACACACTATGGGTCCTTTTCCCTGTTGGTTTATTCCACATGCCTCCTAGGGTTGGCACAAGTACATATAACTTCATCAGTCATTTTCTTCATTCACTCATTCATTTCATTATTTTGCTGTAGTGGGAGTTGAACCCTGGACCTTATGCACGCTAGGCAAGCACTCTACCACTTAGCTACATCCCAGACTTTTTGAAACTTTGACCAAGAGTCTCCCTAAATTGTCCGGGTATCTTTAAATTTGTGATCCTCCTGCTTCACCTTCCCCTTCCAGTAGCTGGGATTACAAGCATGGGTCACCATGCCCAACTGAAATCATTTATTGATCCCCAAATCCTTTTTTTTAAATCCTCCCCTTACATACCTATTTCATTGAGAAAGGAGAAAGAGCTGAAATGTTAATGCTCCACACTCATGTGAGAGGCACTAATTCTACTTAATCACTACTATTTTATGGAGTTTGAAAGTCAGATATATTTTAGTAAATATGAATGCAAATGAACGTTCACCAGTATGAATGTCACAGCATTCAAGTTCTAGGCAGAGGGTGAGGAGGCTAGGGGTATACTTTCCTACCTTTACCTATTTCATGGATAGCCTATCTAGTCTTTGGACTTAAATACTCTATTCCTAGGGCTAGCAAGGTAGGCGCAGTGGTACAGCACTTAACTTGGTACATATGAGGTCCTGAGATTGAATTGTCTCATATTCAGAAATTCAGCCTCTCAAAAGCGTGTGCCACTACGCCCGGCTGGCCACTTTAAAATTTAAGATGAATAAAAATAAGGATATGTAGATATGAATATGAATATGTACATTTAATATAAATTAATACAAAGATCAAAACCACGATTCATTATGCAGTGTCTGCTTTTTTTCCTTGGGACCTCCGTACCACGCGGGGGCAGCAAGGCGCACCTCGGACAAGGGGCTATGCTGGACTCGCTGCCTGTGCTCTGTGGTTCCTCCCAGAATCCTCCGAGGCAGGGACGGAGGGTTTAAAAGACGCCGTGGACTTCCGCTGTTTCACGGGAGGGAGAGCGGCCTGGGGTGAAGGTGTATGCATAGAGTGTGTCGTGGAAGGTGCGTGTGGGCCGCGTGTATGAATGGCTGCATGAATGAATGCGTGAATGGGCGTGCAAGGCAAGCGAGAGATTCCCTCAGCGCCTCCTCCCCCCGTCTACACCTTGATCTTATTTGATCGGGTCGTGACCGCAGCCCCGCCGGGCCACCCCGAAATGAAAAGCTCCCCTCCTGCGAAGCCCCCTGCTCGGGGCGCTGTGCAGCGAGGCCCTATTGGCGGCGGCAGAGCCGTGGTTCCGAGGTCCCGGAGCTGGTCCTGCGGGCCCGGCGCTCAGAAGTGATGAATTGATCAGATAGACGAGGCCGGGCCTGCCCCGGGCCGCTGATTACCGAGGCGATTCTGATCTGAGCCCGGCCCGAGGGCTCGACAACCGGGCTTCTGGACAAGGGGACAAGCACGTTAACTGTGGGCGGCGGTGCACGGGGGTTGAGTATGAGTGAGCTGTTGCGTGCTAACGGTGCTAGAGTTACAAGGTGACTGAGGCCACATCCACGCAGCCGTTTTACTTCCCAGCTCCCTCCCATTTCTGTAGTGTGGGTTTGTTACGGTGATTATACGCTATTGACCTTGGCTAAAGGCAGCGAGCAGTCTCTGCTGTTAAAGGGAAGAGGTGTGTGTGTGTATGCAAAGCTTACAAAAATGGAGATTTTAGGCCGGAGATTTAACTCAGTGGTTTCGTCGCCTGCTGAGCAAGCGCAAGGACCTGAGTTCGATCCCCGGTACCAAAAAAAAAAAAAAAGACTTTAGGGCCCCCCCAAGATTTAGTGACTTGAATGATCAGGGAGGTCTAGGGCGGGCTGGCTCTTTCCTTTTTTTTTTTTTTTTTTTTTTTTGCATTTAAAGTTTTTTAATTGCTCAAAGAGTGTACATATTTATAGGGTGCCATGTGGTTTTTTTTTTTTCAGTGCATATATACTGTAATGTTTATAATAGGGTAAGCACACCTTAAACTTTCTGTTTGGTGAAAACATTTAATATCCTTTTAGCTTTTTTGAAATATACAGTATGTTATCAGTGTTTATAGTCCTACTACTGTGCAGCAGGACAATATAACTTATGTATGACTATAATCTGGAAGCAGTTGACCAGCCTTTCTCTTGCTTCCCTCCCCAAGTCCCTGGTAACCACCTTTTACTCTTAATTTCTATTAGTGCAGCTTGTTAAAATTCAACATATGAGAAGGGCTGGGGATTTAGCTCAGTGGTTCTGCAGCCTGCCTTGCAAGTGCAGGGACCAGTGTTCGATCCCCGGTACCAAAAAAAAAAAAAAATTCTATGTATGAGTTCAATCGTGTATATTTTGTCTTTCTGTGCCTGGTTTATTTCATTTAACATAATGTCTTCCAATACCAATCATGTCACAAACGACAGGGTCTCATCCTTCTGCATGCCTGAATAGTGTGCTGATAGTGTAAACAGCCCCCTCCCCCCTTTGTGCTGGAGGTAGGGTTACACTTTTTTGTGTGCCCACTGAGCTACATCACTGTCCTTTTAAAATTGTGAAATAAAGAGTCTTGCCAAATTTTCCATCCTCCTGCCTGAGCTTCCCAGAATGCTGGGCTCCAAGCATGTGCCACCATCCCCAGCTTAGGCCACATTTTCTTTATCCATACATTAATAGACAAAGTTGATTACATTCCTTGGCTATTGTGAATGGTGAAGCAATGAATATGAGATTGCAGGTGTCTCTTTTACATACTGATTTCCTTGGGATATATACCTAGTAGTGGGATTGCTGGATCATGTACTTCTATTTTTAATTTTTTGAGATGCCTCCATATTGTTTTCTATAGTGGTCATACTAATTTAATTCCCACCAATGGAGTGTAAGGATTCTCTTTGCTACACATCCTCACCAGCACCTGTCATTAGGCTTTTCTATAATAGCCATTCTGAAGAGTGAGGTGATACCTCATTGTGGCTTTATTTTGCATTTCTCCTCTGATTAGTGATGTTGAGGTTCCTTTCATATACCTACTGGCCATTTTCTTTTGAGAAATGTGTTTAGGTCTTTCCCAATTTTTTTTTTCTTTTTGGTACTGGGGATTGAACTTAGGCTTGCGCTTGTGAGGCAGGCGCTGGAACCACTGAGCTAAATCGCCAGGCCCTGTTGCCCATTTTAAAATCAGGTTTTTATTTTTTTGCTATTGAGTTGCTTGAGTTCTTTATTCTGGGTATTAAACCCTTTTCAGACAGTTTGCTAATATTTTCTCCCATTGTGTAGCTCGTCTCTTCACTGTATTATTTACTTTCCTGTGCAGCAGCTTGTTTTAATGGTATTCATTTGTTTTTGCTTTTGTTTCCTGTGCTTTTCAGGCTTATTAAAAAAAAAAAAATGCTTTCCCATCTGTTCTTGAAGCACAGGGCCTTCACACTGATCTATATCCCCAGCCTGCTTGCCTACTTGCTTGCTCTTTTCTTCTCCTTTTTCTTTATTTCTCTTTCTTTTCTTGGTCTCAGAAACACTACTGATTTTTGTGTTGATTATCCTGCAACTTGAACTTGTTTATTCAAATAGTTTTCTGGTAAGGTCTTTGAGGTTTTCAGTATTTAGGATCATTCTCATACAGAGATATTTTTTACCTTGTCCTTTCCAATTTGGGTGCCCTTTATTTCTTTTGCATGCTTGCTCTGACTGGGACTTCCAGTACTATATTGACTAAAAGCAGTGAAAATGGGCATCCTTGTCTAAAAGATCTTTAAAGGGAGAGCTTCAGCTTTTCCCTGTTCATTATAATGCCCAGTGACTTATTGTATATGGCCTGTTCCTTTCACATGTGATTTATTCAGAATTTTTAGCATGCAGGATGTTGAATTTTATCAAATATTTTTTCTGCATCTATTGAGATGATCTATGGTTTTTATCCTTCAAGAGTTGAGCATGGTAGAGCAGGCCTATAATCCCAACACTCTGGGAGGCTGAAGTTGAAGATTTGAGCTCAGCCCTGGCAATTTAACAAGACCCTGTTTAAAAAGAAAAGAAAAGGAAAACAAGGGTTGAGGGGTGAAGCTAAGCAAAGGCCCTGGGTTTAATCTCCAGTACAGGAAAAAACAGACTTAAATGGCAGGTTTATTTCTACTCGGTTTCAGAGGTTTCAGGTCATGGTCAGCTGGCTCCATTGCTTTTAGTCCTGTAGGGAGGCCAAACATCATGGTGGAGCAAAGCTGGTTACTCCTGATGTGGGAAGCAGGGAGAGAGAGACACACAGAGACAGAGACTGCCAAAGAGGAAGGGGCCAGGACTAAAATAGGCCTTTTAAAGCCATGCCTGTGTCCCAGTGACCTGCCCCATCTCATTAGGCCCCACTTGCTACGAAGCTTATTGAGCTATGAATTCATCATCCAGTCACCTTCAAAAGCCCATCAGCTGACAATCAAGCCTTCAATACAATGAGCCTTTGGGGGACATTTTGGATCTTAATGTGTATCATGTTTATTTTTGCATATGTTAAATCAGCATTGCATCCCTGCAATTAATCCCAATAAATCATGGTGCATAATATCTGTAATGTGCTGTTGGATGCAGTTTGCTAGTATATTTGGCTGAGGGTTTTTTTTTTTGGTAATTCCCCATGTTGAACCCAGGACCTTTGCCAAGCTACATCCACTAAGATCTTAGCTCCTTCTTTTAAATTTTAAATTTTTGAGACAGTGTTTTGGTAAATTCCCCAGGCTGGGCTTGAACTTGTGATCCTCCTGCCTCAGTCTTCTAGAGTGCTGGGATCATAGGAATGAGCCAGCATGCGCAGCATTTTTTACTTTGTGTTTTTGAGATAGGCTCTCACTAAGCAGTCCAGGCCTTGAACTCAAAGCAATCTTCTTGCCTCAGCACTTGGCAAGTGCTGAAATTACAGGTATAACTGGCACCATGCCTAGCGTATTGAGGATTTTTGCCTCTAAGTTCATTGAGGATATTGGCCATAGTTGTCTCTCTTGTCTGGTTTTGGTATCAGGGCAATGCTGGCCTGGTAAAATGAGTTTAGAAGAGTTCCCTCCTCTTCAGGTTTTTAGAATAATTTAAAATTTCCTTCCTTCTTTTCTTTCTTTCTTTCTTCAGTTTTTTGAGACATAGTCTCGCTATGTAGTTCAGGCTGGCCTCAAACTCACTGGGATCCTCCTGACTCAGCCTCCCAAGTGCTGGAAATATAGGCATGCACCACCACACCTGGCAGTATTTTTCTTTAAATGCTTGATAGCAATCTATACTTTTAGAAACTTCAACATATGCATCATAGTAATACTTTTTTATTTTGGTAATAGGAATTGAATCAAGGGCCCCTTGCATGGTAAGCAAGCACTCTACTGGCGAAGCCCAACCGAACTCCAATGCTGCTTGACAAAGTTCCAGCTGGGGGAAAAGGAGGGTGGAACACAT